AACTTATAGTATATATCCAAATGGTCACTTCCTACCTGTAGTTTTTTGGCATGTTTCATTTAATATTCCAGCAAAGTTCAAGTTTTTATGACAGGAAGTATGTGAATGGTTATGATAGGAGCAAATAACACTTGACTTTATGATTGTAGTACAGGAAGTAGCTTTTCACGCCAAGTAAGTCTTTGGGGGAAAAAAAAGTGCAGGCTTATAAATCTAACGTACGTAGGTTTCCCAGAATCTTTGCTCTCTTAAGTGGAAATCACACCAGAATGTGGTCTTATTTTCTCTTCTCAACTTCTCTTGTGCACAAATGTCTTTGTTTTAGGAATAGGCATTTTCAGCATTTCAGTATGACCCAACATGATAGGGAACCATTCAGAAAGTTCTACGTGAATGTAATAGGGCCAGACTTTATGGAATATACAGCATGAAAAGCTTTGAAGACCCTGAATAGGAAATTTGTTTCCTTGAAGAGTAAATGACTAAATCATCATTCACCATCGAAGCAGAGGGGTCCCCCAACTTCTCTTGCTCTGGTGGCCACATTCAGTGAGCATGTGGGAAAGACCATCTGATTAACATCAAAGAGTCTGTGTAGGAGCGAGTTTAAAGAAAAGAAAGAATTGGGTAGAACTTCAGTTATGTTCCTCATAGGCAGACCTTTAATGGAGGCTTTGTTTTTCCCCCGACTTAAAATAACAATAACAATAATAATAATAATAATGGAAAGAAAAGTTTTTTTCCTCATCTTTCTCTTTTCTTCTTAAAGCCTGAGGAGCTTATAGTAAGAAGAAAGTTTGGGACTGGTGCTTGTTCTGAGAACCAGGATTACACACACACACATCACATGAATGAATGGAGGCCAGTCAGTCAGATGAAAATGCCCGAGAAGTGTCTCATAGTTCTGCATGCACCCCCATCCCCCGTGGCCTGTGACACAGCCCCACTCCTGGAGTTATTGGATGGAGATTCAAGCTTTAACCCTGTGATCATGAGCCTCCCTTAACCACACTGATTGAAAACGTTTTCTACATACCTTCTACCGCTAAAACTCAGTATCACAGATTTGATACGAAGCTGTTCTCAAAGAACACACAAATGTGTTAGAGTTAGCGGTACTTAGTTGTCATTAATTTCCTTTAAATTCTGCAGAGAAAATATTTGCATGTGGCGTGATGAAAAATCTGCCTCAAGGTATAGCTTTCAAGGTAGTTTCCTAAGTTCTGTGTTACTCCCCATGTACCCCAGCCTGGTGTGACTGGCAGACATGCCGACGGAAGGCTCCGGAGTGGAGTGGCCAAGGTCAGGCTCCCTGGTTTTGAATCCTGGTCTCACCACCTACTGATTGCCTGACCCTGGTCAAGTCCTTAAACTCCCCAGGGCTCAGTTTCCTTGTCTGTAGGCTGGGGATAGTAATGGAATTTGGGGTCGTGGTGAAAATTCAATGAGTAGGTCTGTGTCCAGCTCCTGGTGCTGTCTGAGCCAGCCCTGCCTGTCATTTTGCTCTTACCTGATGATTAAACTGGCTTAAAGAGGCTGGGTGATCTGGACCAGAGCAAAGCGTAGCCAAAGGAAGAGCTGAAACTCAAACATGAGCCCTCTGACTACCCACAGTCTGGTGCCCTTCCCACGTGAGACCACGCCCCCCCCCTTTCTAGAAAAGTGCCACTGAAGAGTGCACTCCTTTGCATTGCTTAAAAGAAAACTTTGAGTCAAGTTGAATATAGAGAACATTTGTCGCAGGGTTTTATTTTGTTTGGGGAGAACGGGGGTGGGGGTGGGGGACGGCGGGCCCAGAGGTCTGAAGAGGGAACCCAAATCTGTAAATTTACACCTGAGTCCTGTCCACGGCACAGCCTGCAGCAAGACCTGGACACTCTCTGTAGTTCAGTCACGTGCAAAATACCCAACCTGAGAAGTCACCCTCTCAGACCCCACAACGCAGAGGATGTCCTAACCGGCAGCAGCTTCTTGGCGGTGGCCACATCTGTTGGGTTTGTGTTCTCTGTTTTGTCCCGCCCCACCCCCACAAGCACGTATTTCATGATCTTTCTTCTGCATTGCTCTGCTTTTCCCTTCTCTTCTTTAAAACGTCTGCATTGGCCACGCAGGCGTAAGTGAGGAAATTCAGTATACTTAATATTTGAGTAGTTGTCAGGCCTCTAATCATTGCTTTTCCACTCACCAAGCTCAGGAGCAATAGGATTTTTTGAAATTGGAGATATTTAAAATTGCTCTCCCTATAATAGATAGGTTCTTGTTCTTTGACATTTTATAGAATGTTCCTCTTGCCATTGACGGGGTTCATAAGGTCTTGGGAGTGAGGGCAGAGGGATGACTGTTGCGTCGTGTTGTTGGTGTGAATTAAATTCTTAACACCAATTATCGATGCTGTTTTTAGTCACTCTCAATTCGAAGATTATATTCCTATCATGTGAGTGGTTCCCATACTGTTCTTTTGAAAATATCAGTTTGGCAAAGATTATAAAAATCTATCACATTGGTGAAAATTTCCTTCCATGGAATAAAATACAGATGGCTTTATTAAAACTTTTCACGTATATTCTTCATGTTTATCTTGTGCTTTCAAAGATGAGAAATAGAGGAGTCGGGGTAAAAGGGGCAGAGTGTTACCATGACAGAAATGAAGGGCCAAAAGCGCATGGCACAGCTGTCTGTCCGCATTTGGTTCACTGGTCTTCAGTCTTCCGTTCACCCCGAGTGGAAGCTTCTGTTTTTCTCCTCCGACCTTCAGGAGCTCCCCCTCCCACCATTGCCACCCAAGACAGAAGCACATTAACAGCCCGGACATGAAGGGCAGGCTTTTTTTTTTTTTTTTTTTTTTAAAGCTCCTCTTCCAGCAGAATGTCTCCTAGTCCCCTCAGAAAATGAACTCTGTCACCACTGATACTCTCTAAGGTGGGATAAAAACAGTCCTTCTCAATTTGCCCAGTTGTTAAGAAATTCTGCTCTTCTCTGACATAAATGATCAGGTTTGGCCGACACCAAGACAAATACAAGAAGTCCTGTCTTTGCCCTTCGTATCCCGTTCTCAAAGGGTGCTCTGGTGGGAAAACCACACGGCCACCCCCGTGAATGTGACGGGAGTCCTATAAAGAACAATTTTGCTGCCCCCCCCCCACACACAAATCTGAAAAACTTCTTGCTTCTCATGGACCCTGTGACTGGCACTCAGAGCCCTTGCCTTCAGTGTCTCAGCGAGCGCCCCGGGCCGGGGTGGGTGGGGGGAGACGATTTGCATGTTTGAAACTTGGGGACAAATGAAAAGAACTCTTTCTCTTTCCTTGAAGGGTTAATGCTCTAACCAGCTTCGGATTGGTTCACTTGAATCCTAAAATTACTTTTCTGGTCACGCGCACTGAAGGTCTAAGCATTTGTGAAATGTCTTCCCCCCCCCCCCTCTTCTTTCTCCTGATGCTGTTCTCTTGGCTGTCTTAATTACACAGGAGTTGAGAAACCAAATTAAAATTAGGCGTGGCTGGTAAACAGTGATCACGTTGCATGCTTTTAGTTTTGCTTGTTGGGAGTTACTTCTCCCTGTGTTGCTTGCCTCCCCGCTTTTTTTGTTGTTGTTGTTCCAAAGGAAATATCATAAGCTCTTTTAGAAATACTCACAGGAAGTGAGTATCCATATGCTGGTGACTCGCCAGCGACTGAGCGTTGACAGGTGGAGAATACGGCTGCAGCCCTCCCAGATTTATTTGCACGTTTCCACCGGAGCAGAGGATTAATTCGGGGTGCATAGACCAGAGGGGTTTTTGTATAGCGAGGGAAGTATAAGAGGAAATTGGTCATTGCGCATCATCTTGAGGGACGGTGATTCAGGGAGCTGGGATGGGGTCAGCAAGGCACGTGGCTCCTGTGTCTGAGGGTTCTGCTCACTGCTCGGAGGGCAGGCTGCCTTCTAAAAATGCGTGCTCCCTCCACCACCAACAGCGATTCTTTCACAGTGAATCACTTCCAGAAATGAATAGCCAGTTTTTTTGGAATGAACGTTGTTGTGAAATCCCTCGCTTATAATGGCAGGTTTTCAGTTGGTGGTTTTATCAGAATTTCTCAAGATCAAAACGAAACCTCCTCTTTAAAAGGAAAGAAAGTACTCCCGATACAGAAAGCAAAAGTATTTCCAGTCTCCTAATGAAGAACTGTCACAGAATGTCTCTGTACCTGTATTTAGAGACACATGTCTGTGCATTTGCCTGAATGTGTGAGTTCTCAGAATTATGGATTCATTGCTGGTAGCTGGTGATTTCCAATGCAGAAGGTCGCTAACTACAAGAAATGTTCTATCCGGTGAGTAGGTGGTAGATTCCAATGATAATTGCTAAACCAGTGTTCATGGTCTTGAGTCGTGGATTCAAAAGACTGCTAGCAAGCTTTTAAATACTTCTGCTATAATTTATATGATTTAATGGACGGAACCTCAGGACTCACAGAAGCCTGTGAAGGGTTTTTCAGAATGTGGATTGATTGAATAATCATTGGATTTTTTGAGTATAGCAGTCCTTTTGAGAAGGAAAGGACGTTTTACAGAGGGAAGCAGTTTATGGGGGGCTTTTTGAGGTACAGTTACTGCTCGTCTGTATTTAAAGTATCACTCTGTCGTCTTACGAGATAGAAGTAAATGCCTACACGGTCTCAACAGAGAAAAAGTAATGCCAAGTCTTTTTTCAATGAAGAGACTTCATCCACATCTTCCTCTTAACTGGAATTTTGTCCCCTAAATATTCACAAGGAGGAACTGTCCTATTGAACAAGACTAACCTCCCAGCAGTACCTGTGACGGGTCTCACGTGGTGGGCTCTCCGTGGCTTACTGGCCACGCCTTTATCCAGGGGGCGCAGGGAAGGAGTGCACTCACTGGAAACAGTGAGCGCAGTTGAAGGAATTGTTCTCTCTCCCAAGTGGAGAAGTTGTTTGACCTACTGACTCATTTCATAGGAATTGGGAAAACAACCTAGTGTGGTTTTCATTGTTAGTCCTGGAAGATTCCAAAATCTGTGTGTCTGCGAATAAGAGGAGCTGGAGAAAGGTGGTGTTACCACTCACCACCTCTGCTTGCCTGTTCTCCTAGTGGAATTCAATCCCTTCCTTCCAGGACAAGTCCCGCCTGCACTTCGGGATCCTTTGTGTCCTGCCCAGTGGTGAGTATGGATGACGGCAGTTTCTGATTTTCACCGGTTCTTGCTTCTAAATTTCCACGTGGCATTTTGTCAAAGGAATAAGCTTTTAAAGAGCATCTTTTCCTGACCCATTTATGCCACATTTCACATTTACCTGTAGAAAATACTCTGGATGTGGAGACAATCATAAAAGGTGGCATAACCTATAGGTGACAATAGAAATTAAGGGCCAAGATGTATTGATTTTTACAGCATATGGCCATGAAGGCAGTTTTGATTTTGACATACTCGTATTAAGTGTTTTTTGTGATGTTCTTTAAAACACAAGTATGGAAGATAACAGTACATTCTAGCTAAAATACTACAGTTACTAATAGTTGGGAGAGATACATGTTTTTGGTTAGGAACCTTTATGTGAAGAGAAATTTCTGATTCCTGATGTCTTGGTTTTAAATCAATGTTATCAAATAAGCTAAAGGTATCAAAAGAGGACAAAGAAAGTATATTGAACTTTGTGAGAAGCAGAAACTCACGTATTTGAAGTGCTTGAAGGGTTAGATTATTGCCTCTGTATTATTTTGTATATGCTGGATTTCTCACATCACACCCTTAAGTCATGTTCTCCGTTAATGCAAAAGTTGCTTAATGTATAATTATTGTAGAATTTCTCTTTCTCTTTGGAAATGGCAGAGTAGAGAGTTGAATCAATCATTCCGGCACTATTAGTTTACTGCTTTATTATGGCTGAGTGCCTTAGAGCTGAGGTTCTTAACCTTTTCGGGGTGTTGGGGCCCTTTGAGATTATGATGGAAGCCATGAATCCTTTTGCCACATTCACACACAAACATTTGCCTGCATTTTCCAGAGCATCTGCAACTCAGTACGTCTCATCTGTGGCCCCCAGGTTAAGGACACCAGCCCAGAGCCAGACGTTACTGTGATTCTGCCGTTCTTGAGCTTCCCAGTTAACACTCAGATTTCAAAGAGGAGGCATCCAAGTCAGAAAGAAGACATTCTCTCTTTGCTAGCTGGGGGGGGGGGGGGGGAGCGGGGGGGGGGGGGTCATGCTTAAAAAAAAGGAGGAAAGGTGGAGAAAATAGGTGACTAATATTAAATAAATAAAGCGAATGGATAATATTCTCAGAACCTCCAAACATATACCCCAGGATCCCTAAAATTTAACCATGAAATGTGTAGAGTGCCTCGTGAATTCTGGTAGAAACTTTTAAGACTCCCAGTTAACAGTTGGGGCGAGTTTTTCTCATACATGAGGAAATCTCTTTTCTTTCTTTTTCCTTTTCCTTTGTGTATGCTACCAAATTAGATAGGACTGCAAATCATCCGAACTCCAGAAATAAAATTGAAAACAGTTGTAACCAACTGGAGAATGATTCTCCATTAGCACAAGAAATCTGGTGGGGATAGATGGAAGGTAGTTGAGTTGAGTGCAGAAGTCCACCATTTAGAAGAACTGTAGCCCTTACTGCCCATCAAGTACATCAGTACACTGTAAGGCTGTTGTGGAAAAAAATAGACATGAATCTTGGGTGTATTAACAGAAGTATGACATAAAAGGCTAAGTAAACAAGACTTGCATTAGTCACACTGATTGTTGTGTCCAACTTTAGTCACATTTGAAAAAAGATTTTGGGTAACTGTGAAGAGCAGATAGCCAAGGAACAGAAGTTGTATACCCTTCCAGCAAAAGATAAAGTGACTGAGAGTTTCCGTCTGAAAAAGGCTAAGGGATTTCTTGCTAATGGGCTTTGAGTAGCAAGCGTCTGATTTATCTTTATATCCCCGGTGGCTCACACACTGCCTTGCTTTCAGTAATTTGCAGTGCTTTAAGTGACCGTCCCGTGTGGGGACGTTGGTAACACTTTTTTGATAGGCTGGGCTGGAGCAAATGGATTCCAGTAAAACCAAAGAGAGATTGTCAGGACATAAGGTCTATAATAAATAAACTTGCTAGTTAATGAATAGATCAGAAAGACAACCTCCATTGCCACAATGATCAAGTTAGATGAGTGGTGAGCTGGGGCAAGTGAGGAACTCTGGGGTTGAGATCTTTCCCAAGATGGGAATAGGTAACTGTCTGAGATGGTGGAAACATTTCTTAATTCATTCAACAAACACTGAGGGCCTGCTTTGCTAGGTGCTCACATTCTGGGAGAGGAGGCCAAAACACAGATCACAGTGTACAGTTTAGTCCTGAGGTTTCATAAAATCGGCATGCTGTGGGACCTGCTAACACCTAGCCACCGTCCGTGAGGCTTCCTGACGAAGGTGATGTGTGATAGACTCTGGCAGGACAGCCTTCCAGGAGTTAGCCAGGAGTCAGCCAGGCAGGGGAGGAAGCATTGTGTGGAGGCGTTAGCCGCAGAGGCTGTGAGCGCCAATGGGGGAGGGTATGGAAGAGGAACAGTGAGAGAAGGTGAAGCGGGAGGGGAGTCCCTGACAACAGGCCCAAGGCGCCACACCCTGGCTGCCTGAAGGTGTCTGTCCGGGAGGGTAAGGTGGCCAGACACACCTTAGAAAGGTGGCCCGGGCTGCAGGGAAGAGAATGAGTTGGGGGGAGAGGACCGGGCCAGGTCAGGCAAGGCAGGGGGACCAGACAGTGAGAGAGCTGGTTGAGCCAGAGCCCTCCAGTGGAGAAACGACGAGGATGCCCAGGGCAGCGGATTCAGGGGGGGTTAGTGAGTGGGAGAGGGGAGAGGAGAAGAAAGGACGGTGGCTGAGGTGATGAAGCGGTATCATTCACCACGAGATGAAATACGAGAGGAGAGGCAGGTCCGAGGGAAGATAAGGCAGCGTTTGGACGTGGCAGAGTGCCCACAGACAAGTGGGTGTGTAGGACACTGGGAAAGTTGGGAGAGTGGTGAGGTGGTTTGTATGGATTTGGACTCGGAGGTCCAGCTCAAAGTCATTATCTTACTGGTGGTCTTGACTTGTGTGAGACCTGTTTCTAAAGCAGTGAATCACTCTTCCAAACTTTTTATATGGTATTTGTTATTTTTTTCTAACTTACGTGTAGTAAAACTTATTTAAAATACAAAGTGTAGTATAAAGAAGAAATGTAAGTTATCTCTGATCCTATCACCCAAGCTCTCTTAACATTTGTGTGTATTTCCCTTCAATATTTTCCTGTCACACAGAGTTTACAGAATTAGCATCATTCTCTGTAGGAACTTTTATATCCCATTTCTTAAATGAGCATTTTCTCCAAGTGCTTAAAAATGCTTTAAAAACATTTTTAACAGTGCAAAATTGGAGAGTGTTTAGTTAGCTTCCATTTTCTTTTCTTTAGAGAGAGAGAGTATGTGCGCGTGTGCAGGGGGAAGGGTAGAGGGAGAGGGAGACAAGCAGACTCTGCTGAGCAGGAGCCTGATGTGGGGCTCTGTCTCACGACCCTGAGATTATGACCTGAGCTGAAATCAAGAGTCAGATGCCTAATCAACTGAGCCACCCAGGCGCCAGGAGCTTCATTTTTATTTTTTTTTAAGATTTTACTTATTCATCTGAAAGGGAGCAAGAGAGAGCACAAGCAGAGGGAGAGGCAGAGGGAGAGGAAGAAGCAGACTCCCCACTGAGCTGGGAGCCCGACATGGGGCTCGATCCCAGGACCTGGAGATCGTGATCTGAGCCAAAGGCAGATGCTTAACCATCTGAGCCACCCAGGCACCCCTTCCATTTTTTTAAAAAGCCAGTTTTACATTATAATAATTATCCTTTCAAATGCATGAATCCTGGATATTTTTCATTAAAGTATATTTAAATGATGTAACAATATTAGTATTGTAATATATTAATAAAACATTGATAATATATTAATATTAAATAATATATTTAAATAGATACTGATATGAATAGCTGGAAGTTTCTTGGAAATCAAACCTACAAATTAGAGAAAAAACGGAATGAAAGAAATACTTCCTTAAAATAGATACCTTGCAGTGAGTTTATTAAGTTAAAGGAATTAAAACTTTTTATTTATTTATCTATTTATTTATTTTTCTCATTTTAAGTAGGCTCCACGCCCAATGTGGGGCTTGAACTCACAACCCTGAGATCAAGAGCTGAGCTGAGATCAAGAGTCACATGCTTAACCGCCTGAGCCACCCAGGCGCCCCTTGACAACTGTTTAATGGCTTCCCACTCTGTGCTCGGTACATGGCATTCTGTAGCTGCTTCCAGGAAAGGTTAACTTTTTCGTGTGTTTATTAATCCATTGTTTCTTTTTGTAAACTTCTGTTCATGTCCCTTATCAACTTTTCTATCACAGTGCAACTGTTCTTATAATTTATTTGAGGGGAGTGTGTGTGTGTGTGTGTGTGTGTTTAGTGATATTTGGGCAAATATTTTTCTCAGCTTCTTTGATTTTGTAATTTTGTTCATGATTCTTTCGAGACACAGAACATTTACATTCTGTTTGGTTAAATAAGTGATTTTTGTCTGTTTTTTCCTTTGTGACTCTCCTGTTAACATGGGCTTAGGAATGCCTTCCTGCCCAGAAGTTAGAAGATATTCTTCTGATTTTTTTTTTTTAAAAATTGCATTTTTTATATTAAACTCACCAAATTAGAAGTAAGGAAAGTGTAACGGCTTTTTTTTTTTTTTTTCACATAGTCCCCCGGCGTCCTGTATGAAGTCACTTGTCTTTCCCCAGTTAATTTTTAGTGCTTCCTTATTTCATACTTCAAGACCTTTCACCGTTCTATCTAACTGTAAGAGCCCATGAATTTTGGGGAATACTGGTACCTGAGTGGAGGGTGTGATAATACTTTTTTCCCGACATTATATTAAAAGTCTCAAGTATACAGTAAGATTGAAATAATTTTACAGTGAGCCCCCACCTGTACACCAGCTGGATTCTACAATTAATATTTTAACCATTTTTTCCCTTTGTCATTTACCTATTCATGTGACGGTTTTTAAAACTCCTGAATCATGATTTGATTTCAGGTGGACTGTCAAAGATGTTTTCTTTCATTCCGTTTTTTCTCTAATTTGTAGGGTTGATT